TTCACCCCTGACGCAGACAACTGGTAACCCAAAAAGGAGACCGACTCCTGAAAGAACAGACATTTCTCAGCTTTGACATACAGGTCATGCTCCAACAGTCTCCTCAATACCCTGCGCACCAGGGCTACATGCTTGGCCCGAGTAGAACTGTACACAAGAATGTCATCTATGTACACCACCACCCCCTGCGCCTGCATGTCCCGGAAAATTTCATCTACAAACGATTGGAAGACTGATGGAGCATTCATTAACCCATATGGCATGACGAGATACTCGTAATGGCCGGAGGTAGTACTAAATGCCGTCTTCCACTCATCGCCCTCCCTAATGCGCACCAAGTTATATGCGCTCCTGAGGTCCAATTTTGTGAAGAACCGTGCCCCGTGCAATGACTCCGTCATGGTCCCAATCAGCGGGAGTGGATAACTATATTTCACAGTCACCTGATTGAGACCACGGTAATCAATACACGGACGCAAACCTCCATCTTTTTTCTTCACAAAAAAGAAGCTCGAGGACGCGGGAGAAGTGGAGGGCCGTATGTATCCCTGTCTCAGAGATTCGGCAATGTATGTCTCCATTGCCCGTTTCTCCTCCTGTGACAAAGGATACACATGGCTCCGCGGAAGCGCGGCTCCTGTCTGGAGGTCTATCGCACAATCCCCCTGTCTATGAGGCGGCAACCGTGCCGCTCTGGTCTTACTAAACACGAGCGCCAAATCCTCATACTCAGGAGGAATGTGCAGTGCCGGCATCTGGTTCGGACTCTCCACCGAGGTCGCCCCTACGGAAACACCCAGACATAACCCCTCACACTGAGCAGACCACCCTTTAAGAGCCTTCTCTCGCCACGAAATAGTAGGATTATGGGTAATCAACCAGGGAAGCCCCAGTACCACCGGATACGCAGGAGAGTCAATCAGATAGAGTTGAATCGTCTCCTCATGACCCCCCTGCGTCATCATCCTAAGTGGCGCTGTGACCTCCCCAATCAACCCAGATCCTAACGGACGACTATCTAAGGCATGTACAGGGAAGGGCTTTTCGACTGGAAGGAGGGGAATCCCTAACTTAACACAAAATGTACGATCTACAAAATTCCCAGCTGCGCCTGAATCGACTAGCGCCTTATGCTGGGAACGAGGTTCAACCTGTGGGAAACAAACAGGTAATGTAATGTGAACGACAGAAAGCTCTGGGTAAGTAGGGCGCCTACTCACCTGGGAGGACTCTCCAATGTAAGGCCTGCCGTCTCCCCCACCAGGGGACCCTCCCCAGCACCTAGCCGCGGTGTGCCCTCCGCGGCCACACTGGGTGCAGGAGACTGCCCCCCTCGGGATCCTTCCTCTTCTCCCTCTAGCGCCAGCACCTCCAAGCTCCATCGGACTCTGCTCGGAGGCGCTGGAGGGTGGAATGGGAGGCCCCCACCTGGGACGTCCGCGGGTCGCAAGCAGGTTGTCTAGTCGAATGGCCATGTCCACCAGTTGGTCAAACGTTAGTGTAGTGTCTCTGCAGGCTAACTCCCTGCGGACGTCCTCCCGAAGGCTACATCTGAAGTGGTCTATGAGGGCCCTCTCATTCCACCCCGCATCAGCCGCTAGAGTCCGGAACTCCAGCGCAGACTCTTGAGCGCTCCTCATCCCCTGTCGGAGGTGGAATAGACGCTCCCCCGCCGCCTTCCCTTCTGGTGGATGGTCGAAGACTGCATGGAAGCGGCGGGAGAACTCCGCATAGGTGACTGTGGCGGCGTCTATTCCCCTCCATTCGGCGTTGGCCCACTCCAACGCCTTGCCGGTGAGACAGGAGATGAGGGCGGAAACGCTCTCGTATCCCGAGGGCGCCGGGTGTATGGTGGCAAGGTAGAGCTCCACTTGTAAGAGGAACCCCTGACACCCGGCAGCAGTGCCGTCGTACGCCCTCGGGAGCGAGAGCCGAATCCCACTGGGTTCCGGTAGATGGACGGGCTGGCTGGCCGGTGGGGATGGTGCGATAGGTGGGGCTGTGGGAACCCCGCTGGTTTCCCATCGACGGAGGGTGTCCATGACGCCCTCCAAGGCGTGCCCGATCCGGTTGATACGGTGCTCTTGACCAAGAAGACGCTCCTCCATAATGTCGACGGGTGCTCCTGCTGATTCCATCGGTAGGTGTGTAATTCTGTCACGACACTGTGTAATGGTGTGGTGTAGAATCAGGCGCAGGAAGCACAGGATAAGTCCAACAAGACTTTACTTGAGAACACAAAGTAATCCAAAACAGCCCGGAGGCAAAAGAACGCACACCGGCGTCAAAATGCGAGCGCACACACAGGTGCGAACAAACTCTCCTATAACCAAGGAGGAAAAGCTATGAAAAATCGCGAACCGACACAGAATGCAGCAACACGACAAGAACAATTACACACAACACTAAACTAACAACAAGGAAACTAAATAGGGTGCTAAATGAGACATAACACAAAACAGGTGTGACTAATCAGACAAAACCAATCAACCAAGAAACATAGATCAGTGGCAGCTAGTACTCCGGAGACGACGACCGGCGAAACCTGCCCGAACAAGGAGGAGGAGCCGCCTCGGCCGAAACCGTGACAGCCTTGCTGTCCAGGGATTGGATGGCATGGTCACTTAAGGACTAAGGACATAGATACTTTGGAGGATATCTGGATGACGTCACACTGACCGCTGGAGAAGAGCTGGACGCCCAGGAGGATATCTGGATGACGTCATACTGACCGCTGGAGAAGAAGAGCTGGACGCCCGGGAGGATATCTGGATGACGTCACACTGACCGCTGGAGAAGAGCTGGACGCCCAGGAGGATATCTGGATGACGTCACACTGACCGCTGGAGAAGAGCTGGACGCCCGGGAGGATATCTGGATGACGTCACACTGACCGCTGGAGAAGAGCTGGACGCCCGGGAGGATATCTGGGTGTATAACATACTAACAGACGGAGACAGGTCCACAGTCTCCTCCCCGATTTCATCGTGGTGGACAATATAGGGAAGGGGTAGAGAGGAATGGATGAGCAGAGGGGGAGTAAAATCCAATCCAAATCAAATGTTATTTGTCACATGCTTCGTAATCAACAGTGAAAGGATTCTTGCGGGTCCTTTAACAACAGAGTTAAAGAGAAAAATAAGTACAGGAGAAATTAAAGGAGGGGGCGGGCCGGGGGGTATCAGTGAAGCAGGGGCGGTGTGTTCATTAGGGCGATATGGGCGACGCACTGCCAAACGGGAAAAGGAAGGGATTTTTTTTCTAATCAATTATATCACGGCAACAGTAGTTATCAGTGTTCTAATCTAGACGTCTGATCTGCCACTAAATGTCCAATCAGGCTAAAGTCGTGCTTCAAATGTCCCCGCCCGTTTTGGGGCGATTTCAGTCAGGTTGAAAATCGCCCAGAAGTCTCTCATAGCCTCTAATGTAAAATCATTTTTTTTCAAATATCAGAGCTTTCAATACAATCTCTATGGGATTCTGAGGGCTTGCACTTACGCGCTTTCGTCATACGTAACATAACCATGAACGTAACTAAGAAAAGAGCGGGTAGCCTCGTCAATCAATTCATTACTACTGTCAACATGGCTAGCCTTCAGTGCAACTCGATTGTCTCTTTGAAAGAAGTTCCTTTTTGTCGGCGAACAAATCAAGATAAATTGGCAACGAAACAATTAGGACCTCCCAGACCAAATTTAATAATTCAACAGGTTTCTACTAAAGGGGGAAAGTCCTACACCCGAGGATTTTCCAAAAATTGGTATGAACGAGAAATCTGGCTAGCAGGCTGCGATGTAGCTAATACAGTTTTCTGCTACCCCTGCTTACTCTTTCACCCTGAAGGCGGCACGGCAGACAGCACGGCTTGGACTGCGACTGGTGTAACCGACATGCACCATCTTTCAGAAAAGATTAAGAAACATGAGCTGTCAAAGACCCACATGGATAGCTGTTTGAGATTGTCTGCTTTGGGGAGAGTGAACATTGGCACTCAACTGGATGAGGGATACAGGCTAGCTGTCCGCCACCACAACGATGAGGTTAGCAAGAACCGCCACATCCTCAGCCGGCTAATCCAGTGTGTGAAGTTTTGCGGAGTGTTTGAGTTAGCTTTGCGAGGCAAAGATGAAACGGAGGGCTCCACCAACCATGGTATTTTTCTTGGACTTGTCAACTTTGTGGCACAATTAGATGAGGTGTTTGATGACCATCTTTAAAATGCTAAAGTTTTCTTCATCAAACGTGCCCTCGACAGCTTCACAAGCAGTGTGCAGGCCATAAGGTAAGATTAAACAATATCATTCGATCTTTCTCAAAGCAGAGCTTTATTTGAAAATGTATGCATGAAAGGAGACATCATCATATTTACAAATCTATACAATTGGCCAGAATATGGTTGTTCATTTTTACAAAGCCATACAGATAGCTGTGTTTACCTTTTCTAGAAATTATTTTCAAATTCTGTTTTCAGGCAAAATGTCTATCACTGTTCATTTTCACAAATCTATACAAGAGGGCAGAATATGGAAGTCTATAAACATTTCTTATTACCAATAACTTGCATCAATGTTTTCAGTAGCCTCTATCAAAAGCTCCTGCTTGCTTGTTGTGAATTATGCTCAGGTGCACATATTTCCAATTCAACCATGAGGCCTTTTTGAAGCAAGTAATGTGTATATCAGTATTGACTTATATGCTGCCCCTGTCTTCATGTTGTTGCTGGACATATCTTTTTTTTAAATGTGTGTAGGTCACCTAAATCATCAGAAAAATTGCCCCCCCTGAGAATTTTTTCAGGAGCCGCCACTGCAGTGAAGGCTTTATTGATTTTGTCCTGAAAAATAAGTTACGGAAATTAAATTATGTAAGTGCAGCGCCATTTTTGGTTGCCAGAGCACAGAGTACAAGGAGTGGAACGTCAGACCGGCACCCAGACTAGCCGTCCGCTAGATGGCAGTGTACTCCCAGCTCTTTCCTTAAGCTACACTTTGCCCTGCAGCCGAGCGACAGGTAAACACGGAAGTAACGCAACTGGCTGCGAACAAACGAAAACATTTTTTGATCATTTGACCGTTAAAACATATATTCAATGCCATGATTTTGTCCAGAAATACACAAATATTTAACTTATTTAGTGAGGTCGTTATTGAGCGTTGAAGTTTACATGACAATGTGTAGTAAAACGTCTGGATATGGATATCGGTCTCTTCCGCAACGAGATTCGATCAATGCCAAACCTGGGTTGTTCGTGGCGACAGAAAGCTTTGTCCAATCTCCATTCTACCACCATAAAGGACAAGGACATTCGTTTGACTACATCCCCAACGTTGGAGACAACGACTACAGTGGTAAGTATTGGCTAAATTAGATAGCTACTAGCTAGTAGTCTGAACACATCGGCGCATACGCAACTCACTAGCTCCATACATACAACGTAGCTACGTAACAGACTGTTGCTCAGTTTTTCAGCCATTTCTTCTTGCAACAACAGCTGTCATATACTAGCTAGGTATGCAAGGACATCATTGTAGTGATCCTCGCTATATGAGCCGCGTTACAATTCCCACGTGATGCATGGGGCGTTTGCCTTTCACACCCGAGACCAAGGTTCGCTTCCAGCTCCCTCCGTTTGCTACATTGGTGTCGGAAGTGGGATGGCTGGAGGCCATCGGAACGCATGGGCGGGACATGTGAAAGGGCTTGAAAGAAAGTTGAAGCACGGCAGTGTAGCGATATTGGTGCAATGCGTTCACGCCGAAGACCCGGGTTCGCTTCCCGCTCCATCTGTTCGCAACAGTATCTATAAGTATCATTAGGTAGACTGATGGACTGTAATCAAATCAATCGGAGTAATAGCTCCATATTCACGTCTCTTCTCTATTCTCCAGACTCCACTCAGGGATGGCTGTCCTGGATCTGCAATGTGATAGTCTGCTTCATGGTGTATATCTGCACCTTCCTAACCTTCCCCATATCAGGCTGGTTCGTACTGAAGGTAACACACACACCTTCATGACCTTCCCCATATCAGGCTGGTTCGTACTGAAGGTAACACACACACTTTCATTACCTTCCCCATATCAGGCTGGTTCGTACTGAAGGTAACACACACACTTTCATTACCTTCCCCATATCAGGCTGGTTCGTACTGAAGGTAACACACACACTTTCATTACCTTCCCCATATCAGGCTGGTTCGTACTGAAGGTATCACACACACTTTCATTACCTTCCCCATATCAGGCTGGTTCGTACTGAAGGTAACACACACACTTTCATTACCTTCCCCATATCAGGCTGGTTCGTACTGAAGGTAACACACACCTTCATGACCTTCCCCATATCAGGCTGGTTCGTACTGAAGGTATCACACACACTTTCATTACCTTCCCCATATCAGGCTGGTTCGTACTGAAGGTAACACACACACCTTCATGACCTTCCCCATATCAGGCTGGTTCGTACTGAAGGTAACACACACACACCTTCATGACCTTCCCCATATCAGGCTGGTTCGTACTGAAGGTAACACACACACTTTCATGACCTTCCCCATATCAGGCTGGTTCGTACTGAAGGTATCACACACACTTTCATTACCTTCCCCATATCAGGCTGGTTCGTACTGAAGGTAACACACACACCTTCATGACCTTCCCCATATCAGGCTGGTTCGTACTGAAGGTAACACACACACCTTCATGACCTTCCCCATATCAGGCTGGTTCGTACTGAAGGTATCACACACACTTTCATTACCTTCCCCATATCAGGCTGGTTCGTACTGAAGGTATCACACACACTTTCATTACCTTCCCCATATCAGGCTGGTTCGTACTGAAGGTAACACACACACTTTCATTACCTTCCCCATATCAGGCTGGTTCGTACTGAAGGTAACACACACACTTTCATTACCTTCCCCATATCAGGCTGGTTCTACTGAAGGTATCACACACACTTTCATTACCTTCCCATATCAGGCTGGTTCGTACTAAAGGTAACACACACACTTTCATTACCTTCCCCATATCAGGCTGGTTCGTACTGAAGGTATCACACACACCTCCATTACCTTCCCCATATCAGGCTGGTTCGTACTGAAGGTATCACACACACCTCCATTACCTTCCCCATATCAGGCTGGTTCGTACTGAAGGTATCACACACCTTCCTAACCTTCCCCATATCAGGCTGGTTCGTACTGAAGGTATCACACACCTTCCTAACCTTCCCCATATCAGGCTGGTTCGTACTGAAGGTAACACACACACTATCTCTCTCTCTCTGTTGCGTTATTAACAGTAATATCTGCCCTACAGGTTGTCCCTAACTACCAGCGTATCGTAGTGTTTCGTCTGGGCAGAGTGCGTCCTCCTAAAGGTCCAGGAGTGGTGTTGGTTCTGCCTCTTATTGACCAGTGGCAGAGAGTTGACCTACGTACCCGGGCCTTCAACATCCCACCATGCCAGGTACACACACACTTGAATAACTTAGCTCAAAGATTAATGATGTGCTGTGCAGGGTACAAATCAAACTGCTGTTTGCAATTCTGACTGTAAGTCGCTCTGGATAAGAGCGTCTGCTAAACGACTAAAGTGTAAATTCTAGTGCCCTAAGTAACCACTACTAATACTGCCACAGATCACTGCCAGGGACGGCGGTGTGGGGTCTGTAGTGTCAGCCCTCTCTATAACCCTCTCTAACAGTTATAACCCTCTCTATAACCCTCTCTATAACCCTCTCTATAACCCTCTCTATAACCCTCTCTAACAGTTATAACCCTCTCTATAACCCTCTCTATAACCTCTCTATAACAGCTATAACCCTCTCTATAACCCTCTCTATAACCCTCTCTATAACCCTCTCTATAACCCTCTCTAACAGTTATAACCCTCTCTATAACCCTCTCTATAACCCTCTCTATAAGCCTCTCTAACAGTTATAACCCTCTCTATAACCCTCTCTATAACAGCTATAACCCTCTCTATAACCCTCTCTATAACCCTCTCTATAACCCTTTCTATAACCCTCTCTATAACCCTCTCTAACAGTTATAACCCTCTCTATAACCCCTCTCTATAACCCTCTCTATAACAGCTATAACCCTCTCTATAACAGTTATAACCCTCTCTATAACCCTCTCTATAACCCTCTCTATAACACAGCTATAACCCTCTCTATAACCCTCTCTATAACCCTCTCTATAACACAGCTATAACCCTCTCTATAACCCTCTCTATAACCCTCTCTAACAGTTATAACCCTCTCTATAACCCTCTCTATAACCCTCTCTATAACAGCTATAACCCTCTCTATAACCATAACCCTCTACTATAAACCCTCTCTATAACAGCTATAACCCTCTCTGTTGTGGTATAACAGGTTACTACCAAGGATGGAGGTATGGTGTCTGTAGGAGCAGATATCCAGTTCCGTATCTGGAGCCCGGTGATGTCAGTGGTGTCGGTTCAGGATCTTAATGCCTCCACGCGCCTCACTGCCCACAACGCCATGACAACCAGCCTGGGCAGGAAGAGCGTCAGGGAGATTCAGACTGAGAGAATCAAACTGGGAGAACACCTTGGGGTGAGGCAGCAGTACACAAATATACTGAACAAAAACAAACGCAACGTGCAACAATTTCAAAGACTCTACTGAGCTACAGTTCAAATATATTAATTAATTAATTAATTAGGCCCTAATCTATGGATTCCACATGACTGGGAATACAGATATGCATCTGTTGGTCACAGATACCTTAAAAAAGGTAGGGGGATGGATAAGAAAACCAGTCAGTATCTGGTGTCACCACCATTTGCCTCATGCAGCACGACACATCCCCTTCGCATAGAGTTGCTCAGGCTGTTGATTGTGGCTTGTGGAATGTTATCCCACTCCTCTTCAATGACTGTGCGAAGTTGCTGGATATTGGTGGGAACTGGAACACGCTGTTGTACACGTCGATCCAGAGCATCCTAAACATGCTCAATGGGTGACATGTCTGGTGAGTATGCAGGCCATGGAAGAACTGGGACATTTTCAGCTTCCAGGAATTGTGTACAGATCCTTGTGACATTGGCAATGCATTATCATGTTGAAACATGAAGTGATGGCTGCGGAGGAATGGCACGACAATGGGCCTCAGGATCTCATCATGGTGTCTCTATGCATTCAAATTGCCATCGATAAAATGCAATTGTGTTCGTTTTCCGTAGCTTATAGCCTGCCCATACCATAACCCCACCGCCACCATGGTGCACTCTGTTCACAACGTTGACATCAGCAAACCGCTCGCCCACACGACGCCATACACGTGGCCTGCGGTTTTGAGGCCAGTTGGACATACTGCAAAATTATCTAAAACAACGTTGGAGGCGGCTTATGGTATAGAAATGAACATTACATTCTCTGGCAACAGCTCTGGTGAACATTCCTGCAGTCAGCATGCCAATTGTACGCTCCCTCAAAACTTGAGACATCTGTGGCATTGTGTTGTGTGACAAAACTGCACATTTTAGAGTGGCCTTTTATTGTCCCCAGCACAAGGTGCACCTGTGTAATGATCATGCTGTTTAATCAGCTTCTTGATATGCCACACCTGTCAGGTGGATGGATTATCTTGGCAAAGGACAAATGCTCACTAACAGGGATGTAAACACATTTGGCGCCAACAGTTTAGAGAAATACGCTTTTTGGTGCGTATAGAACGTTTCGGGGATCTTTTATTTCAGCTCATGAAACACGGGACCAACACTTTACACGTTGCGTTAAATAGATCACTTAATATGTATTAGGGCTGAGCGACATTGTGAAAATATAATTTCACAATATTTTTCAAATATGACAGTATTTTATGTTTTTGGAATATTACACATTTTTAATTTTGCTTTACGAGTAGTGCATGACCCCAGGGTGGCAACACATAACATTCTAAGTGATTTCAACGGGCCTTTTTACATTCTGGTTGTTTAATAGCAGCGATGGGCAACTTTGATGGGGGGCCACAGAAAAAACGGAAGTCATCATGCGGGGCAGCAGTGGCTCGTGGGATAGATGGATAGCTATAGATATGATAGATTAATAAACCAGTTACCCATCCCTGTTTTATACTGTTCAATTCAACTTCAACCCCAAAAAGATTTCAGCATTTTCATCCATTTCTGTATTTCCTGCACCTCATTTGAGATAATTTCCACACTGCTACGTAGGCTGCACGATATGGGCAACTAATCTAGGTTTTATTTTTATCCTAATATTGCAAATGCGATTTAGATCAAAACTTGGGTGAACTGTTGGCATCATGAAAATAGAATGGTTATTAATTCTATAGTTGGAATATATTAGTGGGCACTTTGAATACAGTGTTGTTTGACATGACAACAAATGAACGTTATTGTGACCGGGTAGGAACCAAAGTGTTGGTCAGCGTTTTCTAGGGGACCCTATAATCTTTGGCTACATTTAAATGTTTTCTCTTAGTTACTTCATGTAGTCAGAGAGGAAGAGGAAGAGGAGGAGAGAGGCCTCCCTCCGGCAGGTGGCATGTTTGCGTTGTTTCGTCCACCAAGAAAGGAGTTTTTGTATGAAGGTCAATGAGTTACAAATTTGGTCAACAAAAAAATGAATGGCTTATTTTCTACGTGAGGTTTATTTTATCGAATAGAAGGTTAGTAATGCCTAAGTTGTTACTGATAGAAGTAGGACACGACATTCCGGCAACTTTGAGAAAAAAACACTTTATATCGGAGTTGTCTCGAGATGGCTATGCATATTCATGGCATTAGGCTAGTAGCATAGCATCCCTCTCCATTGAATACAGGCGGTTGACCTCAACAACCCTCATCAAAAAATAAAATAAAGGATTACTATAATGAGATGTATCCACCAATCCAAAGAAAGGATAGAGGGAGCTAGACAGCCCTCCGTGCCGCTTTGTGGCCAATGACTCCCATTGTTAAGGCGGAGACACATGTATCTTGTCAATATATCCATCATCTTTGATGTAGCTAACGTTCATGCTTCGCCTATACCTCTTTGATGTAGAAGATACTGTTGCACAAACAACATGCTGATCAAGGCCTACAACTGAATTAGCTACGTTTGCTCTGACTCAGTACATTTATTAGATAACTAGCTAGCCAGCTAACTAGCGATTAGCATTAGCGGCTAACGCGATTTAGCCACAACTTGCTAAGAAAAGACAAACTAGCTGTTTGCAGACAGTAAGAAACCAAACTAATAGTGTAATTATAGAACGCTTGTGGATTTATATAAAAAAAAAGCAGAGTGGAAACAGCATCGTTGTCATCACCATCCATGTGCTGCCGTGCGGACTGAACGCAAGTGGTCTCGTGGTCGAGCAACAACTGCGCTCCTTGAGTGACGGGGCGGGGCTAGGTCTGTGTGGAAAGCGGCATGGATAGACCGAGAGAGGTCACACCCACAAAGAATTTGAAAACAAATCAAACATTGATAAACTCCCATATCTGTTAGGTGAAATACAACAGTGTGCAGTCACAGCAGCAAGCTTTGTGACCTGTTGCCATGAGAAAAGGGCAACCAGTGGAGCACAAACAACATTGTAAATACAACCAATATTTATGTTTATTTATCTTCCCCTACTATTCATGCTAAAACTATTTGCATTGTTAAAACACAATGTGCAATAATATAGCTGATAATATAACACTGATAATATAACACTTCAAATGTCTATCTTTTTCGTTTACCTTTTTTGTGCAATATTCACTGTTATATTCTAATAGTTTTTTGTTGTTTCTGTGTTTTCTCACTTGTCTATTTCACCTGCTTTGGCAATGTTAACATACGTTTCCCATGGCAATAAAGCCCTTTGAATTGAACTGAGAGAGACTCATCAAGTAGCGGAGGAAACTATAAAAATGGACGTTACACACGGCGGAGTAGAGTATCAGTTTTAACAAACCAAACATTGAAATACCGTTATAGAAGGTAAAGAGAAAACCCAAATTGGTATATAGTAAAATACGGTATACCGCCCAGCCCTAATATGCATCTCTAAGGTCACAGTTATCATCTAATCTAATCTGTTAGGGTCACAGTTATCATCTAATCTAATCTGTTAGGGTCACAGTTATCATCTAATCTAATCTGTTCGACAGCTGATGTTCTGAAAGAGCTGCAAAATCTGGACCCCTACAAATCATCTGGGCTAGACAATATGGACCCTTTCTTTCTAAAACTACCCGCCGAAATTGTCGCAACCCCTATTACTAGTCTGTTCAACCTCTCTTTCGTAACGTCTGAGATCCCCAGAGATTGGAAAGCTGCCGCGGTCATCCCCCTCTTCAAAGTGGGTGACACTCTAGATCCAAACTGTTACAGACCTACAGTGGGGAGAACAAGTATTTGATACACTGCCGATTTTGCAGGTTTTCCTACTTACAAAGCATGTAGAGGTCTGTAATTGTTATCATAGGTACACTTCAACTGTGAGAGACGGAATCTAAAACAAAAATCCAGAAAATCACATTGTATGATTTTTAAGTAATTCATTTGCATTTTATTGCATGACATAAGTATTTGATCACCTACCAACCAGTAAGAATTCTGGCTCTCACAGACCTGTTCGTTTTTCTTTAAGAAGCCCTCCTGTTCTCCACTCATTACCTGTATTAACTGTACCTGTTTGAACTCGTTACCTGTATAAAAGACACCTGTCCACACACTCAATCAAACAGACTCCAACCTCTCCACAATGGCCAAGACCAGAGAGCTGTGTAAGGAGATCAGGGATAAAATTGTAGACCTGCACAAGGCTGGGATGGGCTACAGGACAATAGGCAAGCAGCTTGGTGAGAAGGCAACAACTGTTGGCGCAATTATTAGAAAATGGAAGAAGTTCAAGATGACGGTCAATCACCCTCGGGCTGGGGCTCCATGCAAGATCTCACCTCGTGGGGCATCAATGATCATGAGGAAGGTGAGGGATCAGCCCAGAACTACACGGCAGGACCTGGTCAATGACCTGAAGAGAGCTGGGACCACAGTCTCAAAGAAAACCATTAGTAACACATTACGCCGTCATGGATTAAAATCCTGCAGCGTACGCAAGGTCCCCCTGCTCAAGCCAGCGCTTGTCCAGGCCCATCTGAAGTTTGCCAATGACCATCTGGATGATCCAGAGGAGGAATGGGAGAAGGTCATGTGGTCTGATGAGACAAAAATAGAGCTTTTTGGTCTAAACTCCACTCGCCGTGTTTGGAGGAAGAAGAAGGATGAGTACAACCCCAAGAAAACCATCCCAACCGTAATTGCTCCTGTAAGTCGCTCTGGATAAGAGCGTCTGCTAAATGACTAAAATGTAAATGTAAAAATGTGAAGCATGGAGGTGGAAACATCATTCTTTGGGGATGCTTTTCTGCAAAGGGGACAGGACGACTGTACCGTATTGAGGGGAGGATGGATGGGGCCATGTATCGCGAGATCTTGGCCAATAACCTCCTTCCCTCAGTAAGAGCATTGAAGATGGGTCGTCGCTGGGTCTTCCAACATGACAACGACCCGAAACACACAGCCAGGGCAACTAAGGAGTGACTCCGTAAGAATTATCTCAAGGTCCTGGAGTGGCCTAGCCAGTCTCCAGACCTGAACCCAATAGAAAATCTTTGGAGGGAGCTGAAAGTCCGTATTGCCCAGCGACAGCCCCGAAACCTGAAGGATCTGGAGAAGGTCTGTATGGAGGAGTGGGCCAAAATCCCTGCTGCAGTGTGTGCAAACCTGGTCAAGACATACATTTACATTTTAGTCATTTAGCAGACGCTCTTATCCAGAGCGACTTACAGAAGCAATTAGGGTTAAGTGCCTTGCTCAAGGGCACATCGACAGATTTTTCACCTAGTTGGCTCGGGGATTAGAACCAGCGACCTTTCGGTTACTGGCACAACGCTCTTACCCACAAGCCCTACAGGAAAGGTATGATCTCTGTAATTGCAAACAAAGGTTTCTGTACCAAATATTAAGTTCTGCTTTTCTGATGTATCAAATACTTATGTCATGCAATAAAATGCAAATTAATTACTTAAAAATCATACAATGTGATTTTCTGGGTTTTTGTTTTAGATTCCATCTCTCACAGTTGAAGTGTACCAATGATAAAAATTACAGACCTCTACATGCTTTGTAAGTAGGAAAACCTGCAAAATCGGCAGTGTATCAAATACTTGTTCTCCCCACTGTATATCCATCCTGCCCTGCCTTTCGAAAGTATTTGAAAGCCAAGTTAACAAACAGATCACCGACCATTTCGAATCCCACCGTACCTTCTCCGCTATGCAATCTGGTTTTCTGAGCTGGTCATGGGTGCACTTCAGCCACGCTCAAGGTCCTAAACGATATTATAACCGCGATCGATAATACACCGTACTGTGCAGCCGTCTTCATCGACCTGGCCAAGGCTTTCGACTCTGTCAACCACCGCATTCTTATTGGCAGACTAAATAGCCTTGGTTTCTCAAATGACTGCCTCGCCTGGTTCACCAACTACTTCTCAGATAGAGTTCAGTGTGTCAAATCGGAGGGCCTGTTGTCTGGACCTATGGCAGTCTCTATGGGGGTGCCACAGGGTTCAATTCTTGGGCCGACTCTTTTCTCCGTGTATATCAATGATGTCGCTCTTGCTGCTGGTGACTCTCAGATCCACCTCTACGCAGACGACACCATTTTGTATACATCTGGCCCTTCATTGGACACTGTGTTAACAAACCTCCAAACGAGCTTCAATGCCATACAACACTCCTTCAGTAGCCTCCAACTGCTCTTAAACACTAGTAAAACTAAATGCATGCTCTTCAATCGAACGCTGCTGGCACCCGCCCACCCGACTAGAATCACCACTCTCGACGGGTCTGACCTAGAGTATGTGGACAACTACAAATACCTAGGTGTCTGGTTAGACTGTAAACTCTCCTTCCAGACTCACATTAAGAATCTCCAATCCAAAGTTAAATCTAGAATCGGCTTCCTATTTCGCAACAAAGCCTCCTTCACTCATGCTGCCAAACATGCCCTCGTAAAACTGACTATCCTACCGATCCTTGACTTCGGCACTGCCCCCCCACCCCATCCTTTTTACGCTGCTGCTACTCTGTTAATTATTTATGCATAGTCACTTTAACTCTACCCAAATGTACATATTACTTCAACTACCTCAACTATCCGGTGCCCCCGCACATTGACTCTGCACCGGTACCCCCCTGTATATATAGCCTCCCTACTGTCACTTTATTTTACTTCTGCTCTTTTTTTTCTCAACACTTTTTTTGTTGTTGTTTTATTTTTACTTTTTTTGTTAAAAATAAATGCACTGTTGGTTAAGGGCTGTAAGTAAGCATTTCACTGTAATGTCTACACCTGTTGTATTCGGCGCATGTGACCAATAAAATTTGATTTTATTTGATTTGTCTCACTGGTCATTCCCAAAGCCAACACCTCCTTTGGCCGCCATTCCTTCCAGTTCTCTGCTGCCAATGACTGGAACGAATTGCAAAAATCTCTGAAGCTGGAGACTCTTATCTCCCTCAATAACTTTAAGCATCAGTTGTCAGAGCAGCTTACCGATCACTGCACCTGTACACAGCCCATCTGAAATTAGCCCACCCAACTACCTCATCCCCATATTGTTATTTATTTTGCTCTTTTGCACCCCAGTATCTCTATTTGCACATAATCTCTTGCACATCTAGCATTCCAGTGTTAATACTTATTGTAAATATTTTGCACTATAGCCTATTTATTGCCTTACCTCCATAACTTGCTACATTTGCACACTGTATATATATTTCTGTTGTATTTTTTGACTTTATGTTTTTTTACCCCATATGTAACTCTGTGTTGTTGTTTTTATCGCACTACTTTGCTTTATCTTGGCCAGGTCGCAGTTGTAAATGAGAACTTGTTCTCAACTGGCTTACCTGGTTAAATAAAGGTTTTAAAAAAAGTCACAGTTATCATCTAATCTAACCTGTTAGGGTCGCAGTTATCATCTAATCTAATCTGTTAGGGTCACAGTTATCATCTAATCTAATCTGTTAGGGTCACAGTTATCATCTAATCTGTTAGGTCACAGTTATCATCTAATCTAATATGTTAGGGTCACAGTTATCATCTAATCTAATCTGTTAGGGTCACAGTTATCATCTAATCTAATATGTTAGGTCACAGTTATCATCTAATCTGATCTGTTAGGGTCACAGTTATCATCTAATCAACTGTTTTCGGGTCACAGTTATCATCAATCATCTATCTAATATGTTAGGGTCAACAGTTATCATCTAATCTGTTAGGTCACAGTTTATCCATCTATTTCTAAATATTTAGGTCACAGTATCATCTAATCTAATCTGTTAGGGTCACATTTAAGCTCTAATCTAATTGTAGGAGGTCACAGTTATCTCTAATCTAATCTGTTAGGGTCACAGTTATCATCTAATCTAATCCTGTTTAGGTCACCGTTATCATTCTAATCTAATATGTTAGGGTCACAGTTCATCTAAATCTAATATGTTTAGGTCACAGTTTATCATCTAATCTACTCTGTTTAGGGTCACAGTTATCATCTAATCTGTTAGGTTTCACGTTATCTTCTAATATAATCTGTTGGGTCACTGTTTATCATGTAATCTAATCTGTTAGGGTCCACGTTATCATCTAATCTGTTAGGTCACAGTTATCTTCTAATATAATCTGTTAGGGTCACTGTTATCTTCTAATCTAATCTGTTAGGGTCACAGTTATCATCTAATCTAATATGTTAGGGTCACTGTATCTTGGTAAGTAGGTGCCCATAACATCTCTTGCACCGTTGAAGTGGATGTTCTCTCTCTCCATCTTCCCTCAGTTCCTCTCTCCTCGCCTCCTTCTCAAAACACATTGGAGTTCCTCCGTTTAGCCTCTCTCCTACAATGTGTTTGGAGAAGGAGAGAGGATGTGAAGAATCAAAGACGGACTAATTGAGAAATCACCATGGTGTCTTAACAGAACCCTTTTCTCTTTCCCAGATGGACATCAATGAGATGACCAAGCCGTGGGGTCTGGAGGTAGACAGGGTGGAGCTGACTGTAGGTGCTGTCCTGAAGCCCCCAGAGGACTCTCCATCTGGGCTTGGCTCTGTCATCCTACCCCCCTCTATCCCTGGTCTCGAGGGCCTGGCCGGACCAATACAACAGCTGGCTATGCACTTCCTGGGCAACATGGCTGGCAGTAACAATGAAGCTCCCCTGGTTAGGACAGGTACTGTCACATAGTAACAATGAAGCTCCCCTGGTTAGGACAGGTACTGTCACATAGTAACAATGAAGCTCCCCTGGTTAAGGGCACTTCATCACTTCGTAGCAGCGTTGTAGTTCAGGTAGTCCTCCCGGTTTCATTTAGCAGAAGCTCTTATCCAGAGTGACTTACAGTAGTTAGTACATAGTACAGTTAGTGAGTCATTTAGCAGAAGCTGGTTCCTCCATTGGGGTGCCAGGACAGAGAAGAGCTGGGACTGGGCTGAGGGGGAGCTGCCCTCCCATTGGGGTGCCAGGACAGAGAAGAGCTGGGACTGGGCTGAGGGGGAGCTGCCCTCCCATTGGGGTGTCAGGACAGAGAAGAGCTGGGACTGGGCTGAGGGGGAGCTGCCCTCCCATTGGGGTGCCAGGCCAGAGAAGAGCTTGGACTGGGCTGAGGGGGAGCTGCCCTCCCATTGGGGTGCCAGGACAGAGAAGAGCTGGGACCTGGGCCTGAGGGGGGAGCTGCCCTCCCATTGGGGTGCCAGGACAGAGAAGAGCTGGGACCTGGCGCTGAGGGGGAGCTGCCCTCCCATTGGGGTGCCAGGACAGAGAAAGAGCTGGGACTGGGCTGGGGGGAGTGCCATCCCATTGGGGCCAGAAGGGGGGCTGGCTGAGGGTGGACTGCCCTCCCATTGGGGTGCCAGGACAGAGAAGAGCTGGGACTGGGCTGAGGGGGAGCTGCCCTCCCATTGGGGTGTCAGGACAGAGAAGAGCTGGGACTGGGCTGAGGGGGAGCTGCCCTCCCATTGGGGTGCCAGGACAGAGAAGAGCTGGGACTGGGCTGAGGGGGAGCTGCCCTCCCATTGGGGGTGCAGGACAGAGAAGAGCTGGGAACTGGGGCTGAGGGGGAGCTGCCCTCCCATTGGGGTGTCCAGGACAGAGAAGAGCTGGGACTGGGGGGGGGGGCTGAGGGGAGCTGCCCTCCCTTGGGGTTCTTGGGGGGCAGGACAGATGGGTCGGGAGCTTGTGTGACTTGGCTTAGGGGGAGCTGCCCGCCATTGGTTGCCAGGACAGAGAAGCGCTGGATGGGCTAGGGGAGCGGGCCCTCAACCATTGGGGTGCCAGGACAGAGAAGAGCTTGGATCTGGGCGAGGGGAGCTGCCTCCCCTTGTGTTGCCAGGACAGAGAAGAGCTGGGACTGCGGGGCTTGGGGGAGCTGCCCTCCCCTTGGGGTGTCAGGACAGAGAAGAGATGGTACTGGGCTTCTGAGGGGGAGCTGCCCTCCCATTGGGTGCCAGGACGAGAAGAGCTTGGACTGGGCTGATGGGGCTTCCCTCCCATTGGGTGCCAGGACAGAGAAGAGCTGGACTGGGCTGAGGGGGAGCTGCCCCTCCATTGGGGTGGTCAGTGACGAGATGAGCTTGGACTGGGCTGAGTGGGAGCTGCCCTCCCATTGGGGTGCCAGGACAGAGAAGAGCTTGGACTGGGCGGAGGGGGAGCTGCCCTCCCGTAGGGATGGGAGGGTCAAGAGACCAGAGGTGGCAGAACGGAGTGCTCGGGTTGGGGTGTAGGGTTTGAGCATAGCCTGAAGGTATGGAGGGGCAGTTCCTCTTGCTGTTCCGTAGGTAAGCACCATGGTCTTGTAGTGGATGTGAGCTTCAACTGGAAGCCAGTGGAGTGTGTGGAGGAGCGGGGTGACATGAGAGAACTTGGGAAGGTTGAACACCAGACGGGCTGCAGCGTTCTGGATAAATTGCAGGGGTTTGATGGCACAGGCAGGGAGCCCAGCCAACAGTGAGTTGCAGTAATCCAGACGGGAGATGACAAGTGCCTGGATTAGGACCTGCGCCGCTTCCTGTGTGAGGTAGGGTCGTACCCTGCGGATGTTGTAGAGTATGAACCTGCAGGAGCAAGTCACTGCTTTGATGTTTGCAGAGACTGTCTGGGTGTTGTCCAGGGCCACGCCAAGGTTCTTTGCACTCTGGGAGGGCGACACTCTGGAGTTGTCAACCGTGATCCAAGCTGAGATATCTGCCAGGCACACAGAGATGCATCTCACCACCTGGGTGTCAGAAGGGGGGAAGGAGGAAAGAAGTTGAATGTCATCCACATAGCAATGATAGGAGAGACCATGTGAGGATATGACAGAGCTGAGTGACTTGGTGTATAGAGAGAAGAGGAGAGATGGCCTAGAACCGAGCCCTGGGGGACACCAGTAGTGAGAGTACGTGGTGCAGACACAGATCCTCTCCACGTCACCTGGTAGGAGCGGCCTGCCAGGTAGGATGCAATCCAACAGTGTGCAGAGCCTGAGACACCCAGCCCTGAGAGGGTGGAGAGGAGGATCTGATGGTTCACAGTGTCGAAGGCAGCGGATAGATCTAGGAGGATGACAACAGAGAGAGAGTCAGCTTTGGCAGAGCGGAGAGCCTCCGTGACACAGAGAAGAGCAGTCTTGGTTGAGTGACCCGTCTTGAAGCCTGACTGGTTAGGGTCAAGAAGACCGTTCTGAGAAAGATAGCGAGAGAGTTGGTCAGAGAGTGTTTTGGAAAGAAAAGATACCAGTCTATAGTTTTTGACGTCAGAGGAGTCGAGGAATGGGAGGTCTTCAGAGATGGTCTGGAGGAGGGAATGGGGTCGAGGGTGCAGGTTGTCGGGAGGCCAGACTTCACTAGTCGCAGGATGTCATCTGGAGAGAGAGGGGAGAAAGAGGTCAAGGCGTAGGGTAGTTCTGTGGGAGTGGGACCAGTGGACTCAATAGGCTGAGTGAATGAGTAGCGGCTGTCGTCAACCTTCTTCTCAAACTGGTCCGCAGAGAGGGAGGGGGAGGGGTGCTGGATTAAGGAGTGAGGAGAAGGTGGAAAAGAGTTTCCTAGGGTTAGAGACAGAAGCTTGACCTTTAGAGTGATAGGAAGTGGCTTTAGCAGCGGATACAGAGGAAGATAAGGTAGAGAGGATGGAGTGGAAGGATGATAGGTCCTCCGGAAGTTTCAAATCAAATTGTATTCGTCACATGCTTAGTAAACAACAGGTGTAGACTAACAGTGAAATGCTTCCTTCCTTCCCAACGACGCAGAGAGAAAGAAAATAGAGAAATAATAGAACAGTAAAACATGTAATAATAAAAGTAATAATTCACTAATTCAGTCAATTATCTTTGGTTTTGTGCGTAATGAACTCCACCCCTCACTGTGTTGTTTACAAAGCTTCTCTGTATCTCTGTGTCCTCAGAGGACAGCATCAGCTTCTCAGATGAGGTGAGCAGTACTCCCCGGGCTATAAGTTGTACTGAAGCCGGGGACGGAGCTGTAGCTGTAACCAGGCCCACGCCGGTGCTGGAACTGCTGAAGGAGCTTCTCCTCTCAGAGTCTCTGGTCAATCAGGTGGGAGCCTGCTTCCTGTTCCTCCTCCAATCACCTGACGGACAACAGACAAGCTATTACGTAGACCTCAGCCAAGGTGAGACAAATAACACACTGTCGTTCTACAGAGTCTTATAGGGCCGGCTTCCCAGACACAAGGCTAGTCCTGGACCAAAAGCATTCTCTGATGATGATGTTTTGCAAACAGTCTTTGGCCCTCCTTCTTTGTCATGTATGTTAAAGGGCTTGATCTCTGTAGTTATTGGAACAGTCTCTTTTCCTCCGTTTGTTTTTTACAAGATTAACCTTTTAAGGGCCGGTTTCCGAGACACATGTTCATCCCTCACTAAAAAGGACTTTTCAATAGATTGAGCCTGCTTTCTAGTTCAGGGCTTAGTCTGTATTTAGATTCATTATCCCATCCTCTCTGTCAGATATGTTTTATTTTGTATCCAAGCTGCATTTCAGGGTAACAGAGTAAAAGTGAGTTCCCCTCCTCTGTGTGTAGGCAGTGGTTCAGCCGGACCAGGAGCCCCCTCCGGAGGGCCAGGTACCAGACGTCACCCTCAGTATGACGGACCAGGACCTGCTGGCTATGTTCAAGGGAACCCTGCGACCCTTCGCAGCCTACACCACTGGACGACTCAAGGTCCAGGGAGACCTGAAGACTGCCATGAAGCTAGAGGAACTCATTAAACTACTCAGGCCTTAACCAGAGCCGTATATTGATACATGTAAATACATGGTTCTGGCCTTAACCAGAGCCGTATATTGATACATGTAAATACATGGTTCTGGCCTTAACCAGAGCCGTATATTGATACATGTAAATACATGGTTCTGGCCTTAACCAGAGCCGTATATTGATACATGTAAATACATGGTTCTGGCCTTAACCAGAGCCGTATATTGATACATGTAAATACATGGTTCAGGCCTTAACCAGAGCCGTATATTGATACATGTAAATACATGGTTCTGGCCTTAACCAGAGCCGTATATTGATACCTGTAAATACATGGTTCTGGCCTTAACCAGAGCCGTATATTGATACATGTAAATACATGGTTCAGGCCTTAACCAGAGCCGTATATTGATACATGTAAATACATGGTTCTGGCCTTAACCACTGTCTTCAGACCTGCCTTTTATACAAATACCAGGTCCTAGATAGGGAGCAAATATGATTTCTGCACTTTTATTTCTATGAGTGATCAAAACTCATGTTGTTTTTGATCTCTAATGAATACATACAGTTCACATATACCATCTCTTTGATGTTGTGGTTTAATGAATACATGTGACCCTACCCTCCCATACCTGATCTCTAACCTCTGACCTCCCGGCTACCTGACCTACAGACCTTATACCCAGCTAACACCCCAGGACAAAGTCATTTATTTTGTAAGTCATTTATGTTGTAGACCAGTTGCATTGTAGAAGTGGTATTTTACAAAAACGTCTTCAACGCCTCTGATATTCATCTTCAGCCGGTTCATAGTTGGTTACTTTTACTTATTTAGGTTCACACCATGCTAGGCCAAATGATCCCTTATTATGCATCAAGATACCCTCTGTATTTACCTCACTAGAAAACAAAAATTTCATTTCTAAACCAATACATCCATATAAACATTCATCATATGACAAATTATCATGCTTTAACAATTATTCCTAATACCAATTCCTAATATACTTCACAATTTCTATTAGATAAACCCTTTAAATACATATAACCGAATGGAATGACAGCCAATTGATTCCTGAAAATCTTGAAAATCTAGAAATTATTGGAGGTCTATAGCTCTGTTCCTCCACTGAGGTACTCAGCCATAACCCACATCTCATCAGTATCATTCCTCAAACATCGTCCTCCCATCACCTGATAATTGTCATCGACAGTATCCTCATCTCTAATCGTCAGTTTCCTCGTAGCCATCCGTTGCAGTGGTTGACCTGATACCTGTTCAATCTCCCCTCTATCCATACCTCCATTGGTGTAGACTGTGTGATGATGCATGAACCTTCTTCCTTCCCTAGTTCTATGATCATGCAGAGTCCTTCTCCATTTATCACCGTCTCTCTGTTGTTGTGTTCTTCTATCAGCGTACCAATATTCCCTGCTTCCAAAAACACACAGACAAAACAAAACAATGCTCCGCCGAAGCGGTGCCATCTTCCTCCTCTGTGTTAGAAAAGTCCTACAATGGTACATACAGATCTAGGAATCTCTCTCTCTTACTTGCCCCTCCATCAAGGTATCCATCAACACCTATTACTAACCTTCCCCATTGGGTGTTGTCCATCAATGACTTCATTAATCCTTTAACACCACATAGTCTCCAAGTTGCAAAAAAATGTCCAGATTCTCCTGGTAGGTCTGTCAGAGAAGCCTTCACCTTTTTGAAAGAAAGTCTGCATAACATTGTTAGTTGAGACACAGCATGATACTTCATCCTGTCTTCTTATCAGTCCTGATAAGCCTTTTAGATTAGGAGGTGCACATTCTTGCAGCTTGTTGCAGTCTACTAATGTCATAGAAAGGCCTCCTCTAAATTCTGCCTTATACCACAAATACATTTTCCCCTAAAACATTTAATCTAACCCATAACACATTACTTACTACAGCTCATATTCTTAATACAATATGCAAATATACCAATAAATCCTCATACCATCAATACTAACCCCTTTTTTGAACACATGAGTCACAACGTGATTCATGCTTTCAAAAACAAAACACCAACATTGTTTATTAAATCATAATCAAAATTAAATTAAAATGACAACATTGGATAATACCTCAACTTCCTTCTATCCCGTAAAGTAATCCAAGATTAGTACACTTAACTATCAACAGGTACCCCTCATTCAGGATAGCTCCCTCTCTCTGCAGTTATTTTATGGTTCGATTCATATATATTATTACCAAATTATAAACTTCTTCACAATTATCCTTATCATAACTAACCCCCAATTCAACACGCCTCTTGGATTTATAGTGCAGGTGATCAATCCACACCACAAAGCCAGAACAGATTGCAGAGGTCATTTACATTTTTACATTTTAGTCATTTAGCAGACACTCTTATCCAGAGCAACTTACAGTTAGTGAGTGCATACATTATTATTTTTTCATACTGGCCCCCCGTGGGAATCAAACCCACAACCCTGGCGTTGCAAACGCCATGCTCTACCAATTGAGCTACATCCCTGCCGGCCATTCCCTCCCCTACCCTGGACGACGCTGGGCCAATTGTGCGCCGCACCATGGGTCTCCCGTTCGTGGCCGGAGCCTGGATTCAAACCAGGATCTCTAGTGGCACAGCTAGCACTGCGATGCAGTGCCTTAGACCACTGCGCCACTCGGGAGACATCATTCAATGAATTGTTCCATCAAATAGCATACTAATCATTACCAACATTCAAAACATCTAATAAATGTTATGTACCCCAAGTGTACATTAAATCCTCATGACATTTATTCTCATAAGAAATCATGTATACCCAAAACTCAGTCAAAAAAATTAAAAAAAACTTCATAAAATTCACTGTGTGCTTCTTTAAGACATATCACCTTTGACCTGTTGAAACTCCTTTAAATCAAAATAATAACATTTTATAACACCATACTAGGTGTGTTGTGTGTTTATTTGAAAAACTCATTTGGAAAACAAATAAAACAAAAAAAACATGGCTAGGCCTTATTTAATTTAGTAGCTCCCTTTTACGACCTAAAAATAAGACTAGCTAATTTTACTAACAAGTCCACCCTGTTGCCCTGGGCAATATTCCAATGAGATAAAGAAATTCATTTTCTCCTGGAATAGAAAGTATACAGGTCGTTAACATATAATCAACAATCCAAAGAAAGTAATTACACACAAAACCTGCTACATATATCCACAGTCCTATCTCATCAATAATAATTTATATCAAACTAATTCCTCATAACTACTCCATAAAAATCTTATATAATACCTTTCAAAAATTAAAACCACTCAAAATTCCTCTGAGTTTACAATGATTATGTTGAATTGATTACCCTTCAGATCATATCCTCTTTAAATCTCACCATGATTATTGAACCCCTACATCTGCTCCTTTTGATCCCCAATCAACGAATCCATTATCTTTTATCTGTCCTTCGCCATTGTTCCTGTCACCCCTTTTAAATGTCATATTTCATTCATTCATCACTTACTTTGTGTAAGACTTGATATTTTATCCCAGGCATCTATTTAAAATGTGTTCGCTACGTTGTCTCCTACTCTCCCCTTATCATAGGAGACTTCCATCAATCCTGAAAACAAAACAACCTTCCACTTAGATAATAAGACGTTTCATTATGTTAACTACACCTTCCACTATACACCTATAACTCCTTTCTAATAATTTAATCATCGTAAACTGTTGCATTGATGTTTTTAAATATAAACCTATTGTTTCATAATCCAAAACCCACCAAAAGATGTCACCTTAATCCATCAGGCCAACAGCAACAACTACCTCACATCGTTCAACGTACTATAAACATATTATCGTTATCTGAAGTAATGAACCGTCGTCATAACTCACCGCTGTTTAAACAAACTATATAATGTCATAATACTAATGATCAATTATCAAATATCTTTCCTTATTCAACACTCTAGATATGTTCTTCATTAGTAAATCGTCTCCAACTGTCACGATACTGATGTGGATGCGGTGGTGGAGTCAAGCGCAGGACACAGAAGAATAGTCAAGACGACTTTTACTACAATACTTAGTACGGTACACACAAAATAAACAGCCTCCCAAAAACACAAGAGGTGTAACAAATACGCGAGTGCGTAAAATACCCACTAAGGCCAAGGACACAGAACCTAAACATGCGAGACAGGCGGACAATAACACACAAAATGCAAACCTAACAAAGGGGAACTTATAGGAGACATAATCAAGACAGAATACGAGACAGGTGCACAAACTAGACATAACCAAACAAACATCGAAAACATCAAGCGGTAGCAGCTAGTACTCCGGGGACGACGAACGCCGAAGCCTGCCCGAGCAAGGAGGAGGAGCAGCCTCGGCGGTCTCCGTGACACCAACAAAGCAACACTACCTAATAACATATTCTCATTCACCTAAATATAAATAATTACTTATATTAAACAATCCCATTCAACATCAAGTCAACCTGTCTCATCACCCAATTAACTAACTTACTTTTTAAACCCTCTACAATATCTATCATACTGTACCGCTAATTTTCCGTATAACGGTACCTCAACAGATGACAAATTACTGTGAAGTTACAGTCAAAACAAATAAAACATCAAATTCAAAGCGATGCAACTTTAATTACTACGTTATACTATTCACTATGTGTCGGTAAGACAATCCCTTTCACAACATGTTTATCAAGTCACCTATTAATCTATGTCTATATACTCAATGTAAAAGTTTTGCTTTCTCTCCCTCTCTGGGTTTGAACCAGGGACCCTCTGCACATATCGACAACATTCACCATCGACACACCAAACAAAATCCGCGATCCTTTGCAAAGCAACTACTTCCAGTTCATAGAGCAAGTGACGTCACCTAATGAAAAGCTAGCCCTAGCGCTCACCGCTAACTAGCTAGCCATTTCCTGCCGATAATATTCAACCCCCCTATGACTTCCTAGAAAATACGCGATCCTTGTACACCTAACGTAACCCATAA